TGGACATAAGGAGGTGGAGCTTGGGTCCTGTAAGGTGCGATTTGGACATAAGGAGGCGGAGCTTGGCTCCTGTAAGGTGCGATTTGGACATAAGGAGGCGGAGCTTGGCTCCTGCAAGGTGCAATTTGGACATAAGGAGGCGGGGCTTGGCTCCTGCAAGGTGCAATTTGGACATAAGGAGGCGGGGCTTGGCTCCTGTAAGGTGCGATTTGGACATAAGGAGGCGGAGCTTGGCTCCTGTAAGGTGCGATTTGGACATAAGGAGGTGGAGCTGGGCTCCGGCAAGGTGCGATTTGGCCATAAGGAGGCGAAGCTTGGCTCCTCCAGGCTCTGTCTATATTTAAACCCTGTATATGTATGTGTCTATAAAGGTGAGCAAGTATTATGTAAGAAGTATTCCAGGGTACTTGTCCAAATGAAAAGCAGAATTTCTTTATTATACTTTCACCAGCATAAATCAACTTTACAAAGAAGAAACAAATCAGGTACAGAGCAGAATGACAAACAGCCCAAAGCAGAATCCACTTTGGATTGAGATGCATAACACAAACGTAAAAAACAGCAACAACAAACTGCAGCAAAACAGCTTTTAAAAATAACCTGAGTATCATCTTTAATATCATCAGACAGTCACCGGCACTAAAGCTGGGTTGGCTGAATAACCCTGTGCCTCGGCATCTGTCTGTTTGCTTTTAATGGCTCAGGACACTGAAGTATACAAAGAAAAGCTCTTCTAAAACATTACAGTATAATCTTCCCATTAAAAAAAAAACAATCCAGTTTGTGGAGGACATCACAACAACCAGAACAAGGATGAACTGATCGCAACCCGGCAGGACAAAGACCTGGGAGGCCCTCAGCTGGCAGGAAAGTGTATTACAGTTTCCCACACTACCCATAACTGCATGTGCTTAAAAATGGCTGCACATTCGTTACCAATGAATGCAGCAACCAGAAGCAGCCATGCTAATATAGCAATTAAGATCAGTTCCTAATATAGGAGAGCTTCACTCTCAGACAGATGTGCATGTACAGCTTCATTTCAAATCCATTTTAATAAAAAAACTTAAAGGAAATAACACGTCCCACATCCACCCACCCCCCACCCCGGATAGTCCCCTATCACCAAAACACGAGCACACTACTCTTGGTTATCAATTTATCAGCTGTCGGGTAAATTATCTAGCAAAACAAAATGGCCGTAGTGGGCACTGGATAGCCTAACTGTCCATCGATGAGGCTCACGCCCGATCCTCACCTTAGGCATCAGTGCCAAGAACCATGAATAATAATTACAGCACTAATTAGAAAGTAATAATTTGGAAAATGAGGAAGGAAGGTTTGCACTTATCAAAAGACATGGCGTTTCTCCAGGATCGACTTCTTTCACTAAACACTTCCTGTGAAAGTGGCCACAGTGACTCCTTTTTTCAGGTGGGAATGTTTCACTGATTCTGGATGTATTTTCAGGCACTTAAAGGATCCAGCTTTCTGGCTTTTATATTAATTGTACCTAAAGTTTTGTTGCAGACACAAGCTAATCATGGCAGCAGCACACCATACACACGATACAGATTGTTTGTCGATGGTATTAAGGAAACATGGACGCTGTGTCTGTCGTAGAGAAACTTCAATAAAATGCCCTTTAACCTGGAATCGGGCCAGTACTCAGCAAACAATCCAGTCAATAGAGTAAATACGAACACGCTGCATGAGATCAGTGGGGTGGAATCCCAGGCCAAGATAAGCAGAAGTTCTCAGGATCAACTCTCCTTGTTATCTGGAGGATTATCCAGGTCCAGGTCCGGATCGGCCACGCAGCACAGAAACAGCTTCTGGGTGGTGAGCGAGATGAAGCCTGCAAAACACACACACACACACACACACACACACACACACACACAGAGGTGAACACCAAGGGCCCCCTTAGTAACACAGCTCCTAAACTGCGTGTCCCACTTCAGGGGACGCTGTGTCTGCACGTCGCTAGGCTGAGGGTGATGTCACTGATGGGCCCTTAAGCTTCAGTTACTCTGGGGACCGGCTGATCCTGTTTTCTCTAAAATGTGCTACACAAGTGGTTCACATTCCTGTCCAGGATTGAGAACCACGGCTTTAGACAAAAGCATCATTATTTACAAAAATGTAAATAAAATGTAAAAGCACTGCTGTAATTAGGGGCTTTGGACCACGGTAATGAACATCGAACATATCAGCGACCAAAGGACCCAAGCTGATGGGTATAATGCATGCGATTACATCATCAGGCTACATGAAACAAACAAACAAGCTGGGGCTTGTATCACGAAACAGGATTTCTTGCTAAGCTGGATAACTTGTCAGATTTAAGGTAGTCTGGGCTGAATGTAAGTGAACGAAGATGAAGTCCATTTAAATTGTGGTGCTTTGTATCTGACAAGTTATTTAGCTAAGCAGGAAATCCGGCTTCGTGACAGCGGTCCCTGGGTCCTCTGGCACCACCAGCAAACACGCAACAGCACCAGCTGCTAAAATTCACTTTGGAGCTCAATCTGACCACTTTAAACTCATTACACTCGTATACAAGATTTATGTTTCCATTATAATTTTTGGGGTGTCAGATTTTGTGATGCTGATCGCAGGCCTAACTTCAAAGTCTTCACATCAAGGTTTTTGAGAAACGGCCAAATCTGTTAGAATTACTGTAAAATGTTTAAAACACGAGTATTTAGCATAAGACTGGACACCAAGGATTTTTTTTTTCACAGAACATCTAAGGAGTGTCATGTACTTTTTAATGCCAATTTAAGAAAAGCCTAGTCAGTACTGAGAGTGTGAACGCAGCTCAGCAGTCCCATCAGTATGGAGCACGAGATCAGTGACCCACGAACACCAATCCTTACTACAGCCTCCTTGTGTTTGCTATCAATATCTTCCGCATAGACGTATTATTACTAGGTATTGCATATTCTGTTTGTACTGTATTTACAGCCCATGCAGGGACTCACCCATAGTTTTTCAGAGATGTTATTTTTAGGCTATATTCATAGCATATAATTCCTTATTAAGACTGTATGTGCATATTTTAAAGTAAGTTAGGGGAAAAAATCAATTTCTGAACATTTTTAAGACTTTACACAAAGGTGCAAAGTACTGTAACTCTGTTTTGCCAGAGTTTACAGGCTGTAACACGTTTGGACATGTTGAGACAGGATCCTGCTCTCTCTCTGATATGGAAAAACAATATCAAGGCAAATGGAGTCCCAGTATGCTTGCTAACATCCGCTGGATCCTTCAGAGGGATGTTCCTGAGGCCAAGTGCAGTAGACAATCACACACGTCTACCTTTAAGATGAGTCCTTCCACCATGCACATATACTGTAAATATACATGTAGCGTGAGGTTTAATCGCGTGCTACTGGAAATCCTTGCACGACAGGGAAATTCTGATCACGTATTTGAATTCAGCACAAACAATACTGTGAGATTCACTTATGCTGACTTGTGAAACAAAATGAAAGCAGACATTTGTTGACCAGTGTTATTTATCTGTTTATTTATTTCCACTTTATTCCACCCTTTTATGCTGCTGTATTTATTTTTATGCTGTATTATTATTGTTTGCATACATTGCATTTTTTATATAATCCCTTGTGTCCACTCCGCCGCCCCATTTCACACTGCCCCGTGTTTTGCACTTTACTGTGAAAACCCTCCCCTTGCCACTGGCGGTTTGTATGTTGCACCAGGGTCTTGGGGGAACGTTATTTCATGCCACTATATAGATGTGTATAGATGGTATGACTTGACGTGAAAACTAACCCAGGACACAGACGACAGCACCCTGTCTGCTCCCGGGAGTTAACGGGGCTTTAACCAGGTCACAGCTGTGCTCAGAGTTGGGTCTCTTCTCTTACCTAGAAGTTTGCCCAGGAAAGCAGGCCGGGATCTGGCTGGCAGATACACGCAGAGGAAGTAGACTGGCACGGCAGAGAGGGCCACTCCGATGCCCACTAGTGAGTTGATGGTGTCGCTGTAGAGAGGCACCACCACTAGGAACACACTGCATACGCAGTAGACGACTGGGAAAAACAGGCTCAGCTGTGGGGGGGGGGGGACAGAACAGCAGGGAGGGGTCTGTGAATGGGCCTCCTCTCATACTGAACAGCATCATCACAGCTGTTCTGTAGTACAGGAAAACAAACAGGAATGCTCCGATTCAGATGGCCATGAGGTATTTGGAAGAAGGTTAGGTTCCTCACGGAGAACTTGCCAAACCACCATCAGCTAGAACAATGTTTCCCTGTCTGGTCCTCGTGGATCCACGGCCAGTCCATGTTTTTGCGCTCTCCGAGCTCCCGGAAGGATTCTTTATGTCTGTCTGTGTGTCCCCGAGGACCGGATTTGGGAAACACTGAGCTAGAACCTCAACAGTCATCAGGGTGGCACTTTACTCACACAGCTGAGGAAGGTCCCTAACCTCTAAACCAGCAGTTAAGCATCTCTTACAAATCCGCTATGGAGTCTACACTCCCTGGCAGCATAATATCTTGGTCTGGTAGCTACCTAATTCACTTGGTTCTACCTCCAATGAACTTCTTGCACACGTAAACACTTTATCCTGTTATTCATTTTTATCTTAATCATCCTGTATTTATTTGGCACTACAATCAAGAGAGAGCATAAAAATTTCATAACACTCTGTACGCATGACAAAAAAATCATGAACCTTACGACACGCATTTCTCACCCGACCAGAGCTCTCACCTTGACTGGACGAGGCATCTCAGGCATCTTGACACGTAAGTAGATCTGGCTGGCAATGGAGAGGCCAATGAACAGCCAGTAATTGAAGCTGAAGTAGTTTATTAGTTGGAAGACGTCCTTCACACACAGATATATGAGGGACATCCCTCCCTGAAAGGAGAGAGAGAGACAGTGCAGTCGGAGTCCATAACAGGGTTAGGGTAAGGGTCCGGCGCTGCCCAGTTGCCCCTCTGAGTCCATGCACTGCAAAGATCTCTGGCCACCGAGGTGAAACACTTACGTTGAAAAGCAGAGCGGGAATGGGAGTATAGCGCTTGACGTGGATCATGCAGAGGAGATTAGGGAGCTGGCCTTCACGAGAGCCCACGAAGAAGAGTCTGAAATGGAAGAGATTCACGGGCTCAGACCCCAAGGTGACCCAACTCACTCACAGTGGCTTAACACTGTGTGTATCTGAGAGTCTCGCCATTAGAGACGTGTATCTGAGAGCAGGGCTGCTGGATTATGGCAAAAAACATAGTCATGATTATTTTGGTCAATATTAAGATGACAATTATTTAACACGATTACTCATTGACTTTGGAAATATCATGTATTTATTGATATTTTAAAGAACCCTGTCTTCTTAATAGTGAATTTCCTTGAAAGCTAAATATAATTCATCTGAGAAACAGATAAAAAGGGAAAGGGTTGTGCTAGATTTATAACAAGACAAAACGGGAGCATCACTGCAAAAAAAAATGTGGCACGATAATCATTCTCTCTCGATTGGTTTGTTTTGATAATCGTTGGAAGCCAAAATCGTAATTGAAATTAAAATTATTTGCCCAACCCTATCTGAAAGTTCTGCCAGTACACAGTGTGCATCTGAGACCTCTAGCAACTCATGTCAAGCTACTATAAATATTCATTTTAGTCACACTGCTTTGCAGATAGATGTGTGTCAGCTGACCACGTCGTTCAACAACCCGATCTCACGAATTTTCGTGCAGCCATCACGACATACGTACTGTGATCACGTTTTCGGCTTTTTTTACGTGCTGGGGTAACGTTTCCCCTCCCTATGTGTTTTAATGGGCAGTGCCTAACACCGCCACTATGAGCGCT